TGTTGTACGGTTATGATTCAATTGTTGAAATAGGGAGAAAAAAGACATGTTTGGTTGAGAAGCAAATGACCTTTTTGGTGGATGCCTAAAGGTTCTAAGTTCAACATTAAAGCTTCTTTTTTAAAGTGAAGGCATTTTTGGAATTCCATAACCATATGATGGAAAAAGCTTTTGATTTTGTACAGAAGGATTTTTTTATTAACGAACTAAATGTTAGGGACTTCAAAGTTGGTTTTTGAAAATTGAGGTCCTGAAATATTAATCAGGCCAAAATTTAGGGACCCAATTATTATTTTTCAATTAATATTCAGAGATGATTATTAATTAGTAGAGTCCCTAAATTTTCATTTTAAATGTAAGAGAATTTATTAGGTGTGGCCTCCTGTTCCTATAAGAAATGCAGTACATATGTATGAGTTGTCAGGGTAGTAAGATGTTGGTTGATGGTTGAGACTTTAATGTGAAATAGGATGGGCAATTTTGTGCATATAAATAATCATGCAAACTCAAGCTTTTTGCATGGACTGAAAGTGTGGAATGCAAGAGAAAAATAAAGCATATATGGCTTCGAAACCAGGAATCCTCACTGAGTGGCCATGGAGGTCTCTTGGCAGCTTCAAGGTACACTAATTTCTCCATTTCATAGTTAAAACTCAAAATTTTTTCAAATCGTTTTCTGATTAAAAGTTCGTATATGCCTTTGTTGCAGTACTTGATTCTGGGTCCATGGATAGCTCAAAGCATATACTCATTCACAGTAAAAGAGGAAAAAGAGAGAGACCTTTTCAACTTTATTATATTCCCAGTTTTAATTTTGAGGTTTTTGCATAATCAGATTTGGATTTCTTTTTCTCGTTATTTAACTGCCAAAGGCAGGAAAAGGATTGTTGATAAAGACATAGAATTTGAGCAACTCGAAAGAGAAAGCAACTGGTCAGTTTAACTGATATATATTATATGTAACAGAAACCAATATGAGTTTTGGCTTTGAGGACGTAACCATGTATAAATTCAAATTGTTAATTGGCAGGGACGATCAGATCATACTCCAAGGAATACTATCTTACATTCTGAACAAGGCAATTACAGGGGCTTCTAAATTTCCATTGTGGAGAACAGATAGTGTAGTTATAATAATTTTGCTTCATGCTGGCCCTGTAGAATTCCTTTACTACTGGTTACACAGAGCATTGCATCATCACTTCCTCTATTCTCGCTATCACTCTCATCACCATTCTTCTATTGTCACTCAACCCATTACTTGTGAGTACCAAATGGAAATTTTATTATTATTGTTATTATTATTAAAACCATAAATAAAATCTGAACAATTATTAATTTTGGCAGCTGTAATTCATCCATTCGCTGAAGTCATGGCATATTTCATGTTATTTTTAATACCGATATCAGGTCTGATAATCATTGGAAGAGCCTCTTTGGTAGCATTTATTGGTTATATATTTTACATTGATTTTATGAACAACATGGGGCATTGCAACTTTGAGATTTTTCCTAAATGGTTCTTCTCCGTCTTTCCTCCTCTTAAATATCTTATCTACACACCCTCGTAAGTTTCTTTTCTTTTCTTTTCCTTTCTTTTCTCTCCTTTCCTTTCCTTTTAATTGGCAGTAACAGCCATTTTCTTTTTGTATGACAGTTTTCACTCTTTGCATCACACGAAATTCAGGACTAATTACTCCCTTTTCATGCCGTTTTACGACTACATCTACAGTACTATGGACAATTCTTCTGATGCTGTACTATAGGAAAATTTAGACTTTTCCTTTTGTATTGACAATCTTGGTATTAAATATGTGAAAGTTTCTATGAAATATAATATAATAAGTGCGTGGATGCATGTACTAGCTAGGTACATGGGTAGCCATTTATTACCTTTAAATTTTAATTATGTATCAAATTTTACGTTCTGAGTGTATGGAGTACCTTTAAAATTTGATATGAAGTTTTTTATCTCTTTGTATACCCACCAGTGCAAATCCATATTAAAGATACTAGTGAACATCCGACACGATTAGTTCCAGCAAAAAGAAAATTATTTTTGAGATTTGTACGTAATCAGATTTGAATTGCCTTTTCTCGTTATGTAATAACAAAAGAGAACAAAAAGATTGCTGATAGAGCCATTGAATTTGAGCAACTCGAAACAGAAAGCAACTGGTTAGTACTTAGTGCTGATAGTATATATTGTGATATTATTTATTTCATGTCAATAGTTGAATTATATGTTGCTTTCCTTTTGCTCCACAGCTTGCAACACATTGGTCAGTTCTGTAACTGTTATTTATGAAAAATTCTTTGAATCCTTAAGCGACGAAAATTTTTTGCTAAACATTTTCAAGTAAACTTATAAGAATCTTGTCAACAATTATTTTATGAGTAATTCTTCATCAATTAATTTGATTAGCAAGAGTTAAATGCTTACTGCAATAATTTTTGACAATTCCAGATTCTTTTATTTTTTGAATTTGGAAAAAAATTGGACTTATATACAGCCTTATTGTATCCGAATTTCATAAACCAAGTCGACTCTAACTGAACATTCCTATTTAACACAGCTTAAAATGCATATATTTGGCCATGTAATTTGCGATTATCCATGTAGCCTCAAACTTCGCGGGAGACCTATTATGATTCTGGATTTTTCACATTTCAGTAATAACTATGCCTCTCGTCGAAATGAATAAGTTCAATCGTTATGAATATGGACTTTTACATTTCATTTTGGCAAACAACATTGATACAGATCAAGGGAGCAAGATGAAGGATCCTCTAGCTATACCTGCCGGGCCAATCACAAGAGCTCGTACAACCAAGTTACGAGCAGCCTTGAATGCATTTGTTCAAGAACAAATCCATTGGAGCTTCAAGATCATAGTTATGCAAGATGTGAGATTGAACTTGGAGAAGCACCAAAGATTAATTTATAGAGCGCACTCCAAACTGATTTTTATACAATATTTTATGATTTCTCATTCATCAAAATGATCTCAATAAATTTGTTACCCAAAAAAAAAAAAAAAAAAAAAAATCAATAAATTTTGGTTACCCAAAAAAAAAAAAAAAAAAAAAAAAAAGGTTAAAACTAAAGTTGAATGAAGTTCCCACCGATCTATGCCAACAAATATGACCAGTACTTACAAAATTGAGGGAAGTATTATTCTACAGTAATGTTTTTGGCACTTGCAAAGACTCATCTAAGCCTTTCTTGCTGAAACCTGGGAAAGTTCATGGGCTTTCTTCAACATGTCTGGTAAGTAGTGAAAATCCCATTTAATGCAGAGGCGCTTGGAGGCAGCATATAGGACGTCACGTGTGAGTTTGCGCCAAACTTCGGACAGTGCATAAACCTACAAAATTCACACTTTTAACACCAAATTGAACTACCCAAGATTCCAAACTCAAGAACAAATTGGGATGCGAAAAAAAAAAAAAAAAAAGGGAAGTATACATTGAGCACCATCCACAAATGATGAATTTGTATATTTTTACCAGCAAACCCTTATTTCTAGAAGAACACATCAAGACTCCCTTTACTCCATCACTCCACAAATCCACTTGGTCATTACAGAATCATCATGGCCTAGCGTGCAGAATGTTTCACAAGCCCCCAACCATATTTAATCCTAACCCATATAGTTCCAAAAAGTTTGCGACTACTGTGAGGGAACAATTTTCCCAGGCTAATCAAACAAACTAACAGCTTTAAGCCCAGTGTGCGAAAGGATGAGCCAATACAGTCTCAAATATAATTAAACATTTCTAAACCACATAGCTCTATCATTTCAAATTCTTCTTTCCAAACTATTGCTATCTTGCCATTGGCCATAATGACAATCCTAAATTTACTCTGCCCACCCCAATCTTTTCCTCTCCTCTCGAGGCAGGGATATCCTGCATTCTCTTTTATACTGGGTCATGTTGTCATGCAGCTCATGCCAGAATTTTTACTCACATTTTGAAAGAGTAAAACAGAAGAGGTAGTAGTGATAAAAGACAGGGTAGTAGCTGACCTGACTAGACATGAGTCAGGAAGCTATTGTTGTTACTTCCATAAAAGATTGACTTAGAAGCCCACTTCAAATTTGAAAAACTTGCACTTTCCAAAACTATATCTTATTCCATTGATCAAAATTAAAAACCTACAAACTGGTTCAGTGAAAATATCAAAATGAATTTGCAATTTTAATTGTTTAACCTCATATCTAAATCTGCTTAGTTTCAGACGAATTTTCAGATTTTAACATAATGAGGCCCATTAAGCTCAAGAACAGATAAATTCTTAATTTTATATCCAAGAAAAATATCCATATTCATGCCAGGAGTAACAACAAGCCCTAGCTCAATTCAAAAGTGCCTAAGAATAGGCATATTCAAACAAAACAAAAAGCACGAAAGGACCAAACAACAAAGAAAATAGTTCAGATGAGGAGTGTGCCTAAGCGATTGTAGGAGAAAGGAGACCAATAACAGGTAGCACCAAATGCAGGATAACAGTACTCAACAGAAAGCACAAAAAGATTTCAATTATCAACACCAAAAAAATCCATAAAAAGCAAAAGAACCATTAAAACCACCAGAAACAAGTAGATTACAACTTGTGGAATCCATGTGATAAGGAGGCCAATCAGAGCACTGAACGAAGCTAAAATCGATGGTTGCTTTTGTTATGAAGCGAACCAGAATAACATATGATAGATTGAAGTACAGCATTTCATTAAAATCAAAGCCCCTAAGACTTATGGCCTTTGGACTCCTATATGCATAAAGGGAAAGGGGTTGAGAATCCAAAACTAGCGCATACAGCCATTTTTCGCCTGACCAGCTTAGAAAATCAATTCTGCCTGAACCTTAACCTGAGACCAACGTAAACTTGAATGACCAATAAATAACCCAAAAACTGATCAACCTCAAATGAATTCTAAGAAAATTTGGGCGGGGTTATTTTTATCTAATCAGTTGGTCCACTTTAGATTTCTTGAAACAGCCCTTCTCTTTTCCGTCTTTAACTTCACACTAGTTGCCGTAACAACCAAAAATACTTTTAGATATCTGATACGCTCTCCAAGTTTAACAGCTTATTAATCTATAAGCATATCCACTTAGAGTATAATATGTAAACCCTTTTGAGCCTGTGCTCTTGCCTTTGTTTCATGAACAGAAACAAGGAAAACCATAACACCAGCTTTTCTGCCTAGCTTAAGTTGATGAAACTTCAAACTTAAGATCAGGCTGCCTTTATTTCAAAACTAAAAACAATCATAAAATTAAAAAATAAAGAAATTAAAAAGAAAAAAACTCCCATTTTCCAATTTACATCTTTGACATTTTGACAATCCATCAACGGTTTGGACCATCACCATACCTTAATAACAAGAAATTTGAGTACCATTATAAAAGTTTTTCTTTACAAACACTTCGAAATAAAAAATTTAAAATAAAAAAAGAATTGGGAAAAATATTTTATAGAAGAATGTTCAAAAACCACCCCAACTCAGGACTTAAATCAAAAGAAGTTCAATAAAGGTAGTGGATATTGTTGACTGAAGGGCCGCAACTCATAAAACAGAAAGTTTCTCAATGTCATTTCCATTTCAAAGAATGATTTATCAGAATTGAAAATTTGTAACCACATTGTGACTATAAAAACTATCTGCTGGAGACTTAACTTTTAGTCCCTGAAAGAAAATCACAAAATGAAAATCACAGAAATGCCAAAAGAAGGGTCTTTTGCAAGGATGTAGTGAATTAAGATCATAGTACAAACATAGCACATGTTTTGAGCCTGGAAATTGTGGCTATACATTGACAGTACCCAAATTGTTGAACTACAACTGCATAATTTCAATGGCCATTTATGAGATGCTATAGAAGACCCAGGAATTTTTTTGAAAAAATTAATGTACAGTTACCACACTGTTTTTCTGGAAGTAACTGCACCTGTCAGTAAGCGGGGGCCAAAGTTGTTGGCACCTCTCATCAAGGTTCCAAGAGTTTATAATGTGCAAAAGGCAAGAGACTACTCTCATAAAATCAAGAACATAAAACCAAGTTTCATATTGCATGCTAAGAATGACATTGCATTCCTTAAATCTCAGTAATCTATATTCTATTCTTACCTCCAAATGCAGCACTTGCACCCGAAACCACTAGCAGGGGAGGAAGCTGTTAACAAAATAAAATAAGCAAATAACAGTCATTAATATTTAATTCCAGAAACAAATAGTAGGCCCTTTTAGCTTAAAAGATTTGGAAAAAAAAAAAAAAAATGAAAAGGGGTAGGACATGTACCCCCACAAGAAAAGGCAGCCATTTTGGTCCCTTGAGACGATTTTGAAGGAATGTAATCCCTAAGAAATAATAGCAGTTAAGATTGTGCAACCAAATGTCATACATAATTCAGCAAAACAAAAGAATTGGATTGTACCTGTATTGAAACCGTGAACTGCACTAAGCATTCCACCAATACCCGAGCCAGCCTATTATAAGTGCAAATATGAAGGTCAAAAATTGGACAAAAAATAAAAAAAAAAAAAACAAAAATTAAACTGTTATCCTTCTGTTAAAGCAGCAGCATCTTGTCTGACAAGAACAACAAAATACATAATCTTATTCTTAAACTTTAAATTCTCTAAATTATAATACCGATCAAAAATGTTCAACCATAATATGCAGGAACACTGAATTGATAAAAGCAGTAAATTGAAAGAAGTTACAAGTTACCAACAAAAAAAACTACAAAGTATCACAAAAACACAGTATTTAGCTAGCAAACAAGCAAGAAGATAAAACTTTAGCTTCAATTCATCTAATTAGTAACAATTAAGCACAAAAGTCTAAGAATTGGAAAAATAAACATGTAAGCCCAAAAGAAACTAACATTTGTTTTACAGAAGAAACAAGTTAATATCAGTTATAATCAACCTCAACCCAAAAAAAAAAAAAAAAAAAAAAAAAAAAAAAAAAATTATTAATCAACCTCAACCCAAAAAAAAAAAAAAAAAAAAGAAAAAAGAAAAAGACACGCCGCAAAAATCGAGAGAAAAACTTACGACAGCAGTGGCAATTCATGTAAAAACCGGAGTTATGGTCCATTTCCTCTTCCCTTAAAACCAAATCAAGCGATAAAAAAAAAAAAAAAAAAAAGAAAAAAGAAAAAAGACACCCGCAAAATCGAGAAAAACTTACGACAGCAGTGGCATCATGTAAAACCGGAGTTATGGTCCATTCTCCTCTTCCCTTAAAACAAATCAGCGATTCAGAGATCAGTCATGTGTAAAGATAGAGAAAAGAGAAGATATATACATATAGAGATAGATATACATACAGATTTAGGGTTTAAGAGAGAGAGACAGCGAGGACAGCGAGGAGAACCAAGTCCTGGATTGATGGTTGGATCGTGATGAAGATTTCCGCTTCTCAGTTTCTCCTGGTACACTTCGCGAGTCCCCATCTCCGCAATACAATACGCCTCTATTACACACGTCGTTCTCAGATTCTGCGTGGCTCGGCCTCTGTTGTGTCATGTGTGTCAGTCTGTATCCCAGCAAACAGAAGAAGCAAAAACTCCAGGTTACAACCCGTAAACAACAAATTTAGATCTACACGTGGCAAATGATGGAACCAGTGAACGCACCGTTTAACTATTTATTGGTGAACCAAGTCAAATAAAAACATTTAGCTAATAAAATTAAAATTCAAAGTAAAACTCGTTTTTAATTTGTACTCCCTCCGCCCCACCTGTATTACTGTATAGACTCACTTTCATTTTTTGTCCATTCTAAAATATAATCTTATTTTCAATAAGTTCTTAGTATATCCTATTTAATTTACATTTTTATTCTCAATTCTATATACATCATTTAATATTATAAAGGGATAATATTAGAAAAAGCTAAACAAAAAATATAATTTAACTATATTAATTAGTTTTCTTAATCTATGTAAAAATCAAACTAAATCTAAATCAATATATAGAACGAACATAGTAAAAGATAAAAGTACTATAATCTATTGCAATTATAATAAATTAATAAATTATAGGCCATATCTAAGGATGGAAGCAGCGCCAATATTTTAGAGTACTATCCAACTCCCATTTATTTATTGTGAATTTGAAAAATTAAAAATGGTTTGAAAACCATTAGTTGTGATAGGTAGATAGAATACAAATTTAGATTTTTGAATACTCGTTATATTAAATTGGTTTGATTAGAGATATGTACAATTAATCTAATTATTATTAGTAAAAGGATATTTTAAACATTAAATAATTTTAAATTAATTTTAAATTCAACTAATTTAAAATTCGTGAATCATCTATTCACTTAAAAGAATATCTTTAATAGATTTTGGACAAATATGAATAAAATGAATATAAATAATAAAATTTTAAGCCGAATTCAACGCAAACGGTTTAAAATTCGCAGATATCCAGCTTAAATCCTGAAGCACATCTCTATACATTATAAGTGCTTATGTTAGTAGCAAAACCCTTCCGTGATTTAACAAAATTGAGTACTAATAGCAATAGCATCGGTACCATCCCTAACTCTATCCACAACCTTCTCTCATCTTTGCCCGTCTCTAATCCGTAAGTATTTTTAAGGCCTAGGTCTCTAGCCGTCCACAACTCAGTATCGATTTTACTCGTTCCGATTTCTAATTCATAAGTATTTTTAAAGTTTAGGTCTCTAGGGCCCCGCTACTCATTATCGATTTTACTAAAACGAGTTCAATCGTAAGTACTCTACCAATTATTTGGAAGATTACTTTAATTATTAAAATTCAAATTTCCTATGGAAAATTACTCTCTTAGAATTTCAGAAAAGTTTTATAGGAAAATTAAATTACTCGAAGATAATAAAAGTTTCTTAGGAAAGTAATATAATTATGACAATAAATATTATTACAAAATTTAAAATGTCTTATTTTCTATAAGAATTTAATTTTCCCACACTTTGAGATAAGAAAGTATTTTTACATATAAATGGACTGAATACAAAAATTCACCTCTAAATTAAATTCTATAAGAATTAAAATGTCTTATTATGTATTTGAATTTATAAATTTTGACAATATTATACACCTTTTGACACTAATACCAATAATTTTTAGAATTTTTAGTTTTTATCTGTAAAATATCGACTTGACACATAGTTAACATGACTTTTCGAACAATAATTTTCATAAATTTTTAATTTTTAATAAGTGCTTAATTGATCTAATTTTGTAAGTTAAAGTGTTTAATAAAATAATTTTAAAAATTAAAGTGTTTAATTGATATAATTTTATAAATTAAAATATTTGATGGGTCAAAATAAAAGTTAAGGGTGTTACAAGATTAAAGTAAGAAAGTTCAGAGATGAATTTATGTATTCTGACAATATAAATGGAAAATTAGCATGGGGTTATATGTTTAGAAATTTAATTTTTTAAATAAAGTACAAACCATACATCGAAATCCGACTGTCCCTACTAACTTTCCCTTAAGATTCCAACGATCTAATACCCTCTAAAAAAATAAATTAAGGAATATTTTAAATTTATTTAAAATGGTAGGAATAAAATTATTTAGGAATACTTAAATATTTATACTCTGTTTGTTTCTAGAAAATAACTTGCCAAAGAATAACTCCATGAAAATACGTTATTTTCCAACATTTAACTATTATACAAAATATTTTCCGACATTTGATACAACATTAAAAAATTTTAATCTTCACCAAATAAGTAAGGCATTTACACCTATTATATATCACATAAATCTAATAATTATATGCAAATCTATGAGAAAAAAAAAGGTTGAACATAATAAAAAAATATTTCCAATATTTTACTATAATTTTCACAAAGTTCAAATTAAATTTCATACAATACTCAAAAAACGAAATAAAAGTTCAAACATTTCTTAAATATATAGGTCAAAAAACAAAAGGCAATAATAATAACATTAGTCCAAAAAGCAATAATAACAAATTTAGTCCAAGAAAGAAAAAATCACTTATAACAAAATCAAGCTCCTCACAGGCTCTAAAGACATTTCAATATCAGTAAGCCAAAGCCTCAGGTACCCAACAATTCCAGGTTTGAAGATAAATCTGCTGCTAATGAAATAATGCAGTAACTGTAATTGCACTGACACTCAACTTTTTCACGTGCAAACTTAACATTAGTCAATTCTTCCTTCCTAGTAAGACATTGTAGTCATCTCTCAATATTAATGCCAACTCTACCAGTTTTTCCTAGCAACACACTTGAATTATCTATTAAGGAACAAATTTTAATAGATTTCATTTATTAACGTCACAATTATTAACTATCTTTCAAGAAAGTATGCTTTAAAATTAATAGTAAAGATTAATTTGTATGATCCTGTGTTGTTCTTTAATAACAGAACCACCCAATATGACGAACAATGACAAAAAGGTAAGTTTAGATGGGACTGGTGGTTTTCTAAACACAGCATCAGTAATAGCAACCAAAAGAGGATTAAAGATTAAGATCACAGCAACCAAAATTTAAACAGAGTGCATAACCCAACACAAGAATGCTCGTGGTTAATTGCTTACAGATATGGGTTATAGTTATCAAGGTGATTTAACGAACGAGGATAAGAGAAATCAATTCAAGAACCCAATATCCAAACATCATGAACTGAGAGGAAATAGAAAAATTACAGATAAAAAGCAGTGTCTCTCAGCCTGAAGCAATCCCATCTGCAATACAACAACCAAAACTGATGTGTAATTGAATGGCAAAGCATTTATCTGATATTTAATTAACAATAGCAATGCAGCATGTCAGAGTCAATGAACTGAGACTATCACCATGAAGATTTTTCCTTCCGAAATCAAATATAAAACAAGAACAAAGAATCCTTGATAATAGAAACAGCTTTCAAATACTCATAAAAAAAATAAATAAATAAACCACAAATCATTGATCACATTAAAATTACCTGATAAACTATTTCCAAGAGGCCCATCGAAAGCAGAGAATCCGAAGGCTTAATGTCCAACTTTAAGAAAAACCCAAGCAAATTAACACAAGAAATTAACAAAACCTAACAATAATTCATTAATAAGTAGAGTTTTCATATATCAGATTAAAAAAATCCATAAATTTCAAACTTTAATTTGTTTGTTTGTTCTGAAACTTAAAAAATAGCAGAAATCCTTACTTGTTTTAGCTAGACGTGAATGTGACTTTGCAGGAAAGACTATGGTAGCCGTCGTCAACTTGGAGATGGAGACTCGTGGATCGTGGATGAGTTTGAGATAGATAGTTTGAGGTCGTCGTCGAGCTTATATGAGTTTTTGTAGCCGGTAGGGTAGTGGTTTGCAATTTTAGAGTCACAAATGTATCCGAAAAGTTAAACTCTTCTTCACCAAGATAATCTCTAAATACTAAATAGAAAACTTCAATTTTTTTACATTTATATATATACTTTTTTTGATAAACATAGTAATTTTATTCACCGTATTATTTCTTATTTTTTAGAAATATTACGACGTATTCACGTTATATTCTTCGTTAATAAATTAATATTTTTTAAAAAATTTATTCACTATAATTTTATTTCTTATTTTTTAGAAATATTATGATGTATTCACGTTATATTCTTTCATTAATAAATTAATGTTTTTTTTAAAAAAAATATTAATACACCCTATAATCATTCTGCGGTACCATTGTAGTATTCAACTCATAAAAAAATTGACAATCTTTTTTTTTATTTTTTAAATGGAATCTTGTTTATTGTTGGGAAAAAAAAAAGACAAATTAGTGTATTTGTTCCCTGTAGTTGAGGTCTTTCACGACTCAATCATATGTAGAATATTTGTTCATAGACTATGTTTTTTTTTTTTTTTGAAATTAATACCTTAAAATTTTATTTGAATTGTCAAGTTCATTATTTAGTTATCTTGCCGGGTTTTGATTGGCTACTGCAGTTTATTATAATACTATTCGAATCCTTCCTATATTTCAAACAGGGGTTAAACTCGACCAAAAAATACAACACATAAAATGACCATGGAATTTTTGATTCGGTGCTACGATGCCTACACAATCTCTTAGAGTGATTGGCATATGGGATTTTGGCTGTCATTTTCTTTGCCAAATTAACAATACAATTAATGCAAAAATAACCCCATATTTAATCAACTAAAAGCTAGTGATTATGGTCTCACTCGTATGAGAAGTGAGAAATTTGAAATTTGAGTCCTTTGGGTCACAGTTATTTTTATTAATTTGATGAACAAAGAGAAAAATTATTCTAACTATTAATTATTTTCAGTAATTTAATAAATTAAAAAGAGAAAATCATTTTATTATATAGACTGCAGTTTTATTTTGGCCATAAAACCTTCTAAAGAATCGAGAAAAGAAAAAAGCTAGCGATTATACATAGAAAAACCTCGTGAACATTTAATGCCTATTACATCAGCACTACGATCAATTAACTATAGACAAATGAAAGCAATGGCCAGATGGAGACCACCAAAAGCAAGAAAGAAGAGTCAGAAATCCATGCATGGCCCATCATGACCTGTTCGATTAAATTTTATAATTTTCTATTGCTTTTAGTCCATAAATTTGAGCCATACCCATCAAACTTTTTCTTTTTGTTTTATATATTTAGATGAGGACAAGAGGAGATTCAAATTTGTAATATTTTTTATTTTTCAATAAAAAAAAAACTCAGAATACTCTTTAAAACCATAACGCCTAGAAAGATGCGTGATTTTCAAGTTAAAAAATGATTTAAATAAACTAGTAATTAGCAATTTAGCATCTTCTAAAAAAACAAGAAAAAAAAAAAAAAAAAAAAAAAAGAAAAAAAAAAAAAAAAAAACGCGAGGAGAGACTCATAAAAAAAAAAAAAAAAAAAAAACTCAAAACTCAATAATGGAAAACATAAACATTATACTCTACAATAGCATCTCCAGTTTTCAAATCAAAGGTATGAGTCTTCGCCTGAGCATAACCTCTAGCAAACCGGAAAAGTCCGCTTCCACCGACGATTGGCATCTCTCTAACGCCGGAAAAAACACTGTTCCGTCCCAAAACACTAAGATAGCTACCATTATACTTGCCTTCCGTAAAAGCAAAGTTCAAGACCATTAAAAGACTAAGTTCACTTAGCGAAGCCGATGCGTAAATCCCTTGAGCTTTTCCGACGGGCTTCGAGCTGAGTTCAGGCTCAGCAGTTAAAGGGTCATCCATCATCACTACAAGCCCAAATGCAGATAATGATTTGTTGGTCATGGCGGCATTTACGACTGGAACGGCGGTGGGATTCCGGCCGCTGACTATGTCGTGGAAGTAGAAGTGAAGGTGGCTTAGTTTCTCTTTTTTGAGGCCTAGAGTCGCCGGAGATAGGATTTTTGAAAAACTCTTAGATTTTGCAGTAGCCAAAGTGCAGAGTAGAATATTGTAAGAGACAAGGAAGAGAAGGAAAGGAAGGGCTTTGATGGTTTTTGCCATGGTAGTGATTGGCAGCTGGGCCAGAGATTAGGAGTAAAGAAGAATGGTTAATCAATTGGGTTTATTTATGTATTTATAAACTAGACTAGAAGAAGAGGTTTATGTTGGCATACCAAGACCAGTTGATGTTTTTGGGACCACTTGATTAGAAAAATAAAAATTCAGACCAATCAACTTTGATTTCACAGCGTTGATTTGCTTTGAAGGCCGTGCTTTAGGAGTTTGAATATTTGGTTTATGAACCAGTAAGGCAATAAATGGTAGGAGAAACATTTTCACCAACTCTTGGAAAGAACTTAAATCTCTCAAAGCAAGAGAATATGAGAATATTTTTTCATTTACCCTCCTTTCTTTTCAAGTAAAATAATTTATAGGAAAATAATTGTCTAAAAAATATTTTTCATGAAAAATATTTGTCAAATGATTTATTTTCCGTTATTTGGTTGTAATATTGAAAATTAATTAAAATATTAAAGTCTTTATCTCATAAGGCCATAAAAAATATTAATAATAATATAAATAAAAAATATTAATAATAATATAAATTTTATAATTTAAAAATTTTATTGTTAAATTCGAGAAGAATGCAAAAAAAAAATTATAAATTATAAAAAAGCGTGATGGTAGCCACCTCTGACCGGTGGTAGTGATCAGTGGTAAATAGTAACTGGTAGTATTGACTAGATGATTAATAAATTAAAAAAATATAGATTTATAAGATTTGTCAATATCTAGAAAATATTTTGCTCTCTTGAAAAGTGAAAAGTTATTTTTATTTAAAAATTACTTAATTTTCCTTTGACCAGAAAAATATTTTCCGTTGACTTATTTTCTTAAGCATCCCAAATAATGGAAAGTTGTGAAAAATAATTTTCTATAAATTATTTTATTGAAACAAACGGAGCCTTAGGCTCCTGTTGTTTACAGTTTTGCAAAATATTTTTCAAATAATTCATTTTCAATTGGTTATTTACAATAATAAAAATATTGAAAACTTTAGTTTATAAGAAGTCTTTAGAATTTTATAAATTTCATATTTGAAACATCTATTATTTAGTATGAAAAATATATAAAATGGTAATTGATGGAGGTAACTAGTGGTAGACGATGATTATTGGAAACCACAGTAATATATGATTATTGCATTTTTTTTTTAATTAAAAATCACTACCTAACCATGAAGAATGGATAATGCTAGAAGCCTACAGTATTTAGACTCAGAAGATGATTATTAAATTAATAAAAAAAGTATTTATAAAATGATAATAAATTTGTCGAAGTTTAAAATTTTTTCCTTTTGATAATGAAAATTCATTTTTCTTTAATATGACTTACATTTTTTATTTTTCTTTTAACTAAAAAGATATTTCTTTTGATTGATTTTTCTAAACATTTCAAATATAAAAAAAAAATATTTTTCAGAAAAAGTAATTTTTAAGAAAAGAAAGAAGTTTTTTAGAAAAAAGATTTAGCTCAGGCCTTATATAAAAATGAACTTATTAGCTATTAAAATTTTAAAATGATAGAGGCGTTTTCGCATCTTTTTAATCACAAGGAGACGAAAGATTCCTTTTTTATTTTTTATTTTATTCATCTATCGTAAATGGGTTATTTTTTTAATAAATGAGATGAAGTTAGTGCAGATAGTGCATAAAAATTAACTTGTCATATCAAGTGAAATTAAAAAAAAAAAAAAAAAAAACTTTGTCCATATCAAGTGAAAATTAAACAAAAAAAAAAAAAAAAAAACGTCTATTTTTTCCTTTTGAAAAAAGAAAAATAAATTTCCAATACTGTTTTTTTTTTTTTCCCGAAAGGGATATTCCATACTCCTTTTGTTCCCACTACAATTGTGTTTTAAATTAAAGGAAATAATAAAAAAAAAAAAAAAAAAAACTCTATTTTCTTTGAAAAAAGAAAAATAAATTCCAATACTGTTTTTTTTTTTTTCCCGAAAGGGATATTCCAATACTCCTTTTGTTCCACTACAATTGTGTTTTAAATTAAGGAAATAATTGAAAATATCATTTTTAGCAAAAATAATTATATTGATTAAATTACCATTTTATAAATTCTCTAAATAACTAATGTGTATTTAGTTGGATACGTGAAAAGACAAGAATAATGTTGCAAAAACAATTAATTCTTTCTTGATATTCTAAAATGATAAGTAATTATAATGGGACAAAAATGATTAACCTTAAAGATACTTAGACTCCAATAGAGATAATTTTAGAGTAAAAAAATTATTGCTAAATTTTAAAATAAACAATATAATATAAGCAGTAAGTAAATAAAATAGTGATAAAATATAGAATAATTACTGAGAATTACATAATTTAAAATTTCAGCTCAATTTATATTTATCTGTCCTTTATCTTTGTATTTATTCTTGTCCATCTTTTTTCTTCCTCCTATCTCTTTTTCTACTTCTTCTTCTCCTCAGTCTTCTCTTTCTTTTTCTTTTTTCTTTTTTTCTTCTTTTTCCTCATTCTCCTCGTTTTCTTTCCTTTTTTCTTTGCTCTCTTCTTTTTTTCTTCTACCTTTATTGCTATTCTTTTTTAAATTGAGATTCAAATACATATTATATAAATTATTATAACATTAGTATCTAAGATAGTTTGGCCTAGTAGTTGAAGCACATTAAGTCCCACTTTAGTGATTTTAAAATTAAGTCATGACCCAGATTGAAAGAAATTAATCTCTCATCTAATCATAAAACGGGAGTGTCAGAAGAAAGAAACACTAAACTTGCAGGATTTACTAGCAACAATAAACAAGTATTGGCACCCAAATTAATGCTTTGACTATTGACTCGTATAAGTTCTAGTAGTTTAACTTAATCTATAAGTTATTTTTGTTTTTTAAAAAAGGGTAGTACTCTAATTTCTTAATGCTTTTAATTTTATAGCATATATTATCATATTTCAAATCTGAGAAAGTGAAAGAGAAGGAATACCATAGCAAGTGAAAATTACGCTCAAGTACTTAAAACATTTTTAAAACAGAAAAATTGCACGCATATATCATCTTTTTATAATAATAATATTAACTTTCACGTATCGTATTAAATCAATCTTTTTAATTTTTTAATGAATGAATCCTTTTAATTTAAGAAAAGAATGAAATCTTCGTTTCATTGTCATGATTAGAAGATTTGGAAAAGAAAAAAAAATGCATCTTTTATAATTTAAGCTAAGTATTCAAATTTTTTTTATCAACAAAAATAAATAATAATGATTCAAAAATGCTAATTGAACTAGCTTTCAGAATAGATATCAGTATCGAGGGGAATGGAAACAGACCGAAAATATGTTTTTCAACTTCCCATTGTATAGTGAAAGGACACCTACCCACTTTTAGAAGTGGCCTTAGAACCGTTGGATTAGGAACTAGGAAGTGTAAAGGAAGATACATACTCTGTCATGGTTCAAAGATGGTCTAAAGCTCGGAGTCTATTGGATTGTATCTTTCATTTTCCACGAGAGCAGGAAAAAGACAAAAACAAAGGCAATTGACTATTGTTTTGCCGTGTCAGCTGGACCAGGGATGTAAATGAATCGGGTGTTCGAACTCAGCTGAAAATACATTCAAAAAGATTCGATTCATATCCAGCTTGAGTCGGCTCATTTAGCAAATGAGTCGAACTCGAGACTAATGATATTTAACTAGAAAGCTTGTTGAAGCTTGTTAAGCTTTTATATACACATATATGATATTTATTTTAGGTTTACTCGAGTTCCCAAATCTTAAGTTGAGCTGGAACTCAAAAAATTTTGAGTAAAACTTGAGTTTTGAGTTCAGCTCGAACTTTCATCGAGTCGAGATAAAATCTAAAATCTTTAGGCTTATTGACTTTCAAGTCGAATTAAATTCTGTCGAGCTGAGTTTGACAAGTCTGAGCTTGAGTTGAATCTTTTGCATCCCTAATTGGGATTGAGATGGGGATTCCAGTACTCGGACATAGTGAGTTTTATTTAGGTTATCACATTCACATCTAAAGTCGTGTCAATTCTTCCAATTTTATATATATTCTATAAATATAAATAAATTTTTTGGTGATGCTAGCAATTTTATATATTTATATTGATTATTCTTATAAAAATATTATGATGTACTCAGATAACTAAAATTATATTATTTATTAATGAATTGTCAAATTCTTAAAAAACAATAATTAAAATTAAACACTTTTTAATTTCAATTTGATTTTTATTAGACTTTAAAAAAAAGAAAGCTCAATCTGTTTCAAATAATTAAAATTCAACTGAACTAAATTGATTTTGGTAGTATATGGTATTCAGTCAATTTAATTTACATGTAAAAGAATTTGATTTGTTCCATTTACATTTATTGGATTTAATTTAAATCAAATCGACACAATGTTGATCCATATATCTAATGTAAGCAAAATACCATCACTTCATGCACTATATTAATGTGGAAATGGGATTTAGTAGAACGCCAGGGAACCATCTATTAGGGGTGTAAATGATTCGAACTGGATCGAAAGAAATTTTAAAAAGTTCAACTCAAATCGAATTCGAGCCTGTTTATTAGTAAACAAGTAGAGCTCGAGCCTAATAATGGTCAGTTAAAAAATTCAATGAGTTTATATATATACATACACGTATAATATATCTTTTATATTTTATTCGAGTATCGTGTTTAAAATTTTTCGAATTAAATTCAAATTGAACTCGAATTTTCATTGAGTCAAGCTCAAATTTAAATTTTCAGACTCGTTAAGTTTCGAGCTTGGCATGTTTGAGCTCGACTCAATTCATTTACATATCTGATTCTACCCATTGCTCAACCAATATTCTTATTAGACTGATGATAGAAAGAAGCAAACTTTCCGAGGCTAATTTTACTTGCCTCAATTCCCCCATTTTCCATTTTATTCTTTATTAAATTGTTGAAGAGTGAGACTCCAACTGTGTCAACGGCACTCGCAACTGTTAGCAACAAATTAACATTTAAATTTCTTGTATAAGAGCAGTTTAAGTTTAGCCGTAAGTATATCATACGAATATAGATTTAAATCCAATTCTCCCATTTATCAATTCTTAAAAAATTTTAGCATTAACCCTTCTAGTTAATTTTTTTTCCTAATGATGAAGAGTTAGAGGATTCGAGTTCGAGCCTTCTAATTTTCATAAAATTGGTGAATCAAGTGAAAAGCTATTTATATTTTGTAGCCCATCATATTATTTCGCTCGCTATGCTTCCTAATGGATCATAAATAAAAATTTCAAATCCTAATATTTTTTCAATAATTTCTAATGCCAAATTTGTTATTTGATTTCGTTTTAAATTCACATTGGGAAATACTTTTTGTTTATGAAACATTCATTATTTTATGATAAAAAGCCACGAGTAAATATGATGTATGAGTACAATAAGATTGTGTTTTATTATTTTTCATTTTTATGAATAATTAAAATTTAATATTTTTTTCCTTTTATTCTTCCTCAAACTTGTACTTCTTCTAATATTTATAAATAATTATAAATTATATTATTTTTACTAATTTTCTCCCTTATTTAGTGTTTCTTTTATGTTTGTCCATACTGTATGGAAATGCATGGGTTTTCAATTTTAGCTTGATAAACTACCAAAATAGCCCATTGCCTAGTTTATTACTACCCAGAAATCGGCCCACAAAGAAAGCCCATTAAATATACAAAACCCCAGATCCGCCCTTACAATACAAACCCTAAAACACAAAATGCACCTATAAATATAATCTAGGGTTTTGTTTCTTCAAATCTCTCTAGTTTTCCACAGCCACCACTGCACAGAGAGAGAGAGGTGAGTGAAAATGCCGGCCGGTCATGGTCTTCGCTCCCGAACTCGTGATTTGTTCTCAAGGCCTTTCAGGAAGAAGGGTTACATCCCATTGACCACTTATCTTAGGACCTACAAGATCGGTGAATATGTGGATATCAAGGTTAACGGCGCCGTCCACAAGGGTATGCCTCACAAGTTCTACCATGGCCGTACCGGTCGTGTATGGAACGTTACCAAACGCGCCGTCGGCGTAGAGGTTAACAAGCAGGTATACAACAATATAATAACTCCAGTTCTCTTTTATATTTTGGTGGAAAACGATTACTGTCTATGTATTCTTGGGTTTCTTAAATTAATGAAAATAGTGTTATTTTGTTTCTTTAAATGATAGAAATGCTTTTATTTAATCTTATGGTTCCGGTTTGCATTCATTTTTTGGATTGATTTATTCTGGGTTCAAGTTTTTGTGGTTGTGTTTGATCATTAGGCGTTTGATGTGTTGTCTGTGATAGCTGTATTGTAGGGCCTGACTTCTAGGTTGTGTCATTTTTTTGGATTTGAGCTAAAATAGTTGTTAACAAGCAAGCAATTTCTATTATACTTTTGGTGATTTTGTGATCCCTCTGACGTTTTTAAGGGCCTGTGTGCTTGATGTTTACTTTGAATGCTGATGGCGTTATAGATCTTGGATTTAGACACTAGCATCCAATTACTATGTATATTCTGATTATTTATTATTGTAGCTCGAGATATCATTACAAGTAGTTGGATTATTCAGCAATTGTTGGGTCTGGTTTTATGTTTGATATAGATTGTCAATGTGATTGATATATAGAGAGCTGTTTTAAAATTTTGTTTGTTTTGTGTAGGGTTTCTTTTCTAGTCTTAAGAGTTTTAGTACCACTGGGATTGTTGTTTTGGATTAATGTACTTTCGTCCAAAGAATTCTCTGTTTAACTAATTAGATTAATTGATCTGTGGTGATTTCTTTCTTGATTTTATTTTGATCTCTATTCCCTGCATAGCTCAACTTCTAGCCTTAAATGATTAAAGCTTTGGTGTTGTTTGTGTATTATAGGTTGGTAACAGGATTATCAAGAAGAGGATCCATGTTAGAATTGAGCATTTGCAACCTTCGAGGTGTACCGAGGAATTCCGCCTAAGGAAAAAGAAGAACGATGAGCTGAAGGCAGAGGCAAAGGCTAAAGGTGAGGTCATTAGCACAAAGAGGCAGCCAGAAGGACCAAAACCCGGATTCAAGGTCGAGGGAGCAACATTGGAAACTGTTACACCCATTCCATATGATGTTGTTAATGATCTCAAGGGTGGTTATTAGAGCTACAAGTTTTAGGTTTTGTTCATGCTGTTTGGTTTGTGATGCAAACTTTTTTGTTGACTGGATTAGCTTATTCATATGTCTTTTTAAGTACTTGAAGTATTGAAGAGGTTTTTTTGATATAATGAACTATGCTTTATTTCACTTCCTCTTCAGATATATTTAATGTTCATCAAAATATATTTCCTATTAATTATCAATTTTTTGCATTTTTGTTAGCTTATTTTTGAATGTCAAATTATATATTCTGATTGAAGAATAAGACTATTTGATCTTTTAAAATTTTTGTCAGTTATTTTTGAGGTTTTGATAACCTTAAGGTGCTGGGTTATGAAGGGAATAACCGGTTGAAAATTATTTGTTTAAGCTTAATTTCTTGTTTGATTTTGAAACTAGCAATTTGTTTGGTATTTCACGAGCTTACTGATTTGACTGAACTCTCTGGATTTGTAATTTTTCATTTTTGTGCAATGTTATTGTTTTTTCTGAGTTTGAAATATTTTTCTTTCTGTTAAATTAAATTCCATTTTCTTCCAGTTTGTTTCCTGGGAAAATAGAACAGAATTGAAATACTAGAATTTGCCCTGCCCTGCGTTGGGCCGTAGGTAACTATGTATAGCAAACGTTAAAATGGGGCCGTTGTTTCTCATTTGTTTTCCATATCTGCGGCCATCTGCATTGGGCCGAAGCTTTATGGACTCACCGAATTATGGCTGCACGTTATTTCATTAACGAAAACAGAAAGATGTGAGACTAGCCACTAATAATATATTTTTTTTCTTTTTTGGAAAATAAGGATGAACTCTATTAACTAAATAACGTTCCACACCATTAAATCAGACAAGGAAACAGCAGCTCGAGCTAGCTAATAATAAGCTAAAGGTTCCGTTTTTTTTTTTTTTTTTTTTTGGCCTGCACGTTATTATGCATTAGAATAACAGAAAGATTGAGACTAGGCCACTAATAATATATTTTTTTTCTTTTTGGAAAATACAGGATGAAACTACTATTAACCAATAACGTTTCCACACCATTACAGTTCAGACAAGGAAACAAGCAGCTCGGAGCTAGCTAATAATAAGCTAAAGGTTCCGTTTTGTTTTTTTTTTTTTTGAGGAAATATTTTTTTTTTTTTTTTTTTTTTGAGAAATATTTCCCTATTTTTTATTATTTGTTGAAATAAGAAACATGAAACATATAAATTTATAAGACAATATTTATCATTATAGAAATTTCATATTTTAAAAATTTATTAATGAGAATGAGAAAATGTATAAAGATGATAAATTGAATTTGAATTTGAATTTAAATTAGACTTGCAGAATATAAAATTCAAAATGAATAACATTTTGTATTCTCTAAAATATCTATATATGAAATATGGTTTTTTTTATTCCAATCTATGTACTAAAATTTATGAGTGCGGTATCTAAATTATATCAAAATTAATGCAAAGATCTTGCTAACTTTGGAGAATTTAAATTCCTACTTTTTGATTTATCCCAATTTCAAGTCCTTATATTCAAAAGGTAAGATTTTTTCTATTCTTGCAATAGAAAAATAAACATGGATCCTTAAATTCCATTACTTTTAAGAAAATTACTATCACATCCCTAATTTTTTATGGTGAATAAAAAAAAAGTCCTTAAATCTTTAAGAATCTCAAGAACAGATGAAGAAGAAAAGGTTAAATTTGGTGAATAATATAAATAATTATAAAAATAGCAAAATATATATATTGAATTCTATAAAGTTAAATTTAGTGTATGAATGCAAATCTTTACAATCAGGTGAATTTTACTTAGGTGGACCGCCAGAAAACACATTATAACAACAGCTGGACCTAGAAAAATGTTATGAAATCTCAGTCCAAAACTATAAATTTAATAATGATGATGAGAATAGATTTTTTTTTTTCTTTTTTAAATTAACAAGTACTAAAAGGTTGCTTTGAAATCCGCAAAGAAGAAGGAAAAGGTCTTTGAAATCCTAGTCTAAAACATCATTAATAAAGGAAGGATAGGAAGGAAATTTTAATGCAAAAATTACAATGCAATTTGTGTTTTGAAAACAGACTATTTTTTCTTGCTTCCGTTCAATTTCTCTGTATTTTTCATTAACTGTCTTATGAAACGATGAAAATATCATTTTTATCTCTTCCATTTTTAACATATTTAATAAAAAACAGAGATAAACTAATTGTAGTTCTCAATCCATAAAGATCATACCGTAACTTTTCTGGTATAAAATTTTATTATCTCCTTTTCTATTTCTATTTTTTAATTAAATTAACGAAAAAATACAAAAATTGGAAAATGACATAATGGTATAAGACTAGCAGAACATAGAAAAAATTGATATATTTAAAAAAAATAAAGAGATGAACTAATTGTATTTCTCAAAACTACGAGAACTGTACTATAATTTTTTCAACTTTAATTATCATTGCAATGTAGGGGATTCAAATTATATGAATTAACTGAGAGTAAACAAAGTATTAATGGGATCTATCTCATTCTATTGTGTTTTTAATCTCAATACGAGACACCTAACTGTAAGTTCTCCGTCTTATAATGTTTTTTTCGTCTAGACACCAAAATAAATAAATAAAAAAGCTAAAGTCACCAAATATAATATTATCAAAAGAAAAAAAAAAAGGTCAGTATAAAGAAAAGAATATATGCTTGAAAAGGATTTTAATTATGACAAGTGACTTAGGGAAGTAAGATACAATTTATTCTCTTGTTGAAATTACTTTCTAGCCAATGGTTTTGCACCGGAAAACTATTGTTCTATCATTTATTATTGAAAACAACCTGAGTTGTTAATTTACAATAAGCAAAAAACTAATCTTAACTCTTCTTCCTTCATCAAACAAACAGGGCCAAAGATGAGAACTCTTTTCTGTGTTCTTCTCCTACTACTTTCAGGTTCTTTATTTATTTATTTTAATAGGCTTTTAATTTTTAAAACTCGAGTTTTCGACTAATTATATTATTATTTTTGAGACAGCTGAATCCATCCAAAGAATGGAAGGAGCGAGGATACCAGAACACACGTGCCATAAGTCGATAAAAATTAACATCTGTGATTTGCAGAAATGCACGAAACAATGTGCCAAATTACCTTCAGGTGTGGGAGCCTGTAGAAATTCCATATGTTATTGCACTTATTATTGTAAACCATCTCAAAATATAATATCTTCATAAGGCCTTATTTTTGTAATACAAGATTGAAGGCTAAGAACATGTTTCAGGTTTTAATTCCTTTTAACGTTTGTAATGTTTCAGCTTTCAGTTTGTGTTTTTTGTTAACTTATTGATTTACTATGCCTTTATCTAATTTTGTAGTTTTAATTTCTCATTAGATTTAACTTCTTTCACCATGAATACTTTTTTCTTTTTACAGTAAAAAAAAAGCATATTTGAGGAATAATTTTTTCGGCCATGTTCGGCAACAACTTTTGAATTAGCATTTTAGTGTTTGACCAAATCAAAACTCTATTTTTATTAATTGTAACATTTAGTAATATAGCTTTTATAATAGCGTTGAGAAAATTTTTCTTCCTTGACAATTATATAATATTGTTTTTTTTTCTTCCGAATTCAACTAATATTCTTTTTTATCATTTTAAATAGAAACAATAATTTTTACCCAACAATTCTAATTCAAACCGTTGTATAAATAGTTACTAACTAAAAACTAATAGCTAACAACTAATAGAACAACTAACAGCTACTAAAACAGTTAATATGTTAAATAATAATAATAAAAAAAACAATTAAACAATAAAGAAAACAATGTGTTAAATAACAGTCGATGTGAAATAATATTTGAAATACTCAAACTTTGCAATAAATGATAAATAAAAATTAAGATAAAAAAGAAAGAAGAAGAAGACGTAATTAATTAATCATCAGGCACACATTGATATGTACAATAACAAATCCAACGTTTGTGAGTGGTTTGACTACATTCTCCTTGGCTGTCTGGTTCTTGCTCAGTACACTGCCTTTGGCATTCTTGATTGTCACAAGTTTCTCCACCTGGAATTATTAAGTGGCAAGTTTCTTCTCCATTTCCTTCAGCTAATTCTATTAACAAACCTGACAAAACAAGCAGAAGAACTGGGAAAAGTTTGTTCATTTTTTATACGAGAAACATGTAATAAATTGTTCTTGTCTTGTTTGGGTTGCTAATTGTCTTAATTCAATTTCTAAATTTATAATGTGGAAGATATATGAGAAACCAAAACAGAAGATTCTATTTTTAGTGATATGGTTTTCGTTTCAGTTATTGACCTCTTCTTACTTTGTTTTTCTTTTTCTGAAATTAGAATCCTGTATTGGTCAGGTCAGTACG